TGTTCCGTGTGTTATCACCATTCTCTGCCCGCACTTTTTTTTGCTTGCATCGACGCGATTTTTTTTCGGATTTTTGCAGCAGCGGTTGCCGCTGATCCTCCGCTCTTTTTCTTCTTGTGGTTGGATCGCCTGTGACGTTCTCTACTATGGAAAAGAGAACGATAGTTGGTATTCTTTGTAGTGTTATTTCGGCCTCCGCTATTATAGCTGGCACGTTGTCGGTGCAACGGTGCACGTGTGTATCGACTTTTTACAACAGTCAAGTCAATAGCCGAAGTAGCTGTCATTGCAGTCAACAGGTTGTCGCTGTCTTTGTCGTTGCTGTGGCGCTATAATGGGTTGCCTTATTGCTCTCCTGACGCCAGCCGCTTTGAAGCTGCTATCTGAAGTAACCACATCACATAACGCTGGCCACAGCAGCGGCCTCGGTTTTGTGCTCTATTTATACGTAGACACAATTGTCGCATAGTCGCTTGCAGAAACCAGCGCTCTGATGTGCTGGAGCACCGGTATTAAGTGGAGCACTCGCTTCGCTGCCATCTTTGATGGGCAACACCTAGCATCGATGGCTGACTGGTAAAAATCGTGCTGTGCTCTACTGATTTGGCCCGTAAGACTCGGGTTTATCGCGTTGTGACTGTTCCTGCCCTCGTCGTCGGACGATGTGACGCCGTCTTTATAACAAGACCAGCTCCAGAAGACGTTGGCGTTGCAACTCGTAGTTGTAGAAGTGCTTGACGCTCGTTGATGTCGCATTCAACGCCAGTTCACAAAAAGACGAGACTGTTTCGTCCCTGGTCATGTACATTCGTTCCACCCTCTTCTGTTTCCTGTTTGACGCTGTTCTGTTTCTTCTCAGCGTTTTTGAATAGTCGTCTCCATCATTTTTTTGGCGCTGCCGTTTCCATCTTTATTTGGGCGAAGATTGAAGAGCCGCAAGTGACCAGGTCTTTAGCGTCTACGGCAAACAGAGCAGCTTACTTTCTTCGCTTGAAAGCAGCACCAGCCGCCGTCAGTAGCAGCGGCAGTTAAGCTTGCGATCTTGATAGACACGTCGTCTGCTTCACAACAAAACAACGATAATCTCAGCCAATTGAAAAGAGAGACGAAGTGAAAAACGAAATGTCAAACTGCTATCAGGTGACTGTTAACTCTGGAAGAATGGAGTGGTCTCTGTTCGTAACATTCATGCTAATCTTGTTGATTGTGCCTATGTCAGGAATGAAGCTGCCATGGATTACCCATGGGCGTCTGTAAATGTGTGGCTATGCATGTTTTTTCATAGGCGATTATTTTCAAATGGTAACAGATTCATTATTATTATTATTAGACTAATTAATGTACACACTTGCTGATCTCTGCTTGATGGAATTTGGCTCCGCACCTCTCGGGGTTTGGTGGTTTTAGGGAGATCGATAATTGCAGGTATTTGTACATTCGGACTATTGTTCTCGTTGCGCTAGTAAGTGCGTCATAAGGATGGCCGGGTTTCCAAAGCAGACAGATTTCAGAAACAAATGGCGTAACTAGCCAATACATAACCTAAAAAAACGAACACACGCATAGATAACGGCACTGGGAATTGGGATTTTCGGTGCCAACCGCTAAGACATTATTACAAATACGTATAAACGTAAGATTTGGTACATGAAATCTTTACACAGAATAAAGTTTCCATGGACCATTTATGTAGTAGAAACTAGATTCCTAATATGTAACGTACTGAGTAATTCAAATGAAGTCGATTGTCCGCTTAAACGTTCGTTGCTGAAATATACCTGTGCACGTTCTAGAGTGCTCTAAGTAGATAATAGGGTGTCAAAGAATAACAACTTAACGACCTGAAGACGGATATCAATTCAAAGAGTAAGACACGACACTACAGCTGCACCCAACTACAAAGAGATGTGCAAAGAAATAATGCCATATAGAAAAAAAGCTTATGCTAAAAATCTTACTGCAAGAGGATAAACCGAGCAAATGTTACTATTTACAAAAAAAGCAACGATAAATTGTATAAGCGGAACGGCGATTGCTGTTTATTACTTATATTGCCAATTGCTTTCGTTATTGCGTTCTGGTTACCAGTGTAGTATTTTCAGTGTAGTTTACCACTTGGTAAAGAAGGAAAGGGGGGAATCGGGGAAAGAATTCGACCTGGGGAATTCTATTGTAACCTCACGGTAGAATGAAAACAGCCACACACAGATACATAAACACAAACTATGAACTTTAATGGCATAAGCTCAAATGACGTCGAATGGTAGTCGATACTGACATACCGTTCGCAAATCTCCTTGGTGCAAGTCCTGACTATGAGGATACATATGCGTGTGTATAAACACACGACCTAAGGAGCAGTTGATCTGACCAGATAATAGCAGTGTCCACAGCAAAATGGTTGGCTGAAGCCAATAAGTAAGGCCTGACAGTTTTTATGGTATTGTGTACTTCTATGGCTGACAATATCCCAAACGAGTCATTTGACTCGAGTAGTGGTTGATCTGGTAAGAAACAACCGCTGTGTAATATGACATGAGCATATAGCTGTGCTTAGTATAAACATTGGATTCGAGATGGTGAGGGTAATAATATTTATATTGCTCTTACATCTTGTGCTATCCTGTTGCTGTTCCCGCGTCGGTGCAGTGGTAACTTGCTTGCTTATAGAACTTAGAAACACATGGTGGTTTGGGTCTTAAACCGGTTGTTTCATGGTAAAATCTAGCCGTTTGAAGTGATGTTTAATGCCAGTACAGCACGTAAAACTCGAAACGTTTATCCGGTCTTTGAGTCGATCTATATGTTAATATGCAGCTGATAAATGCCGATAAACGCTACAGGGACCGTATAAAGCTAGCGCATGGAAAAAAGAATAAATAAGCAGATGCATGTTTATTTTACGATTAGCATAACCTATCGATAAAGGAGGTCGCGAAAAAGTAACAGTTATGGTCTAGGATAGCTAAATTTCGCCTACCATAAGGCAGTTGACGTACCTGTCGAGTTATCGCACAATCAATTTTCTATTAAATTAGAAAATAACACAATGCTAGTCGTGTTCGAACTTTGTTTTTTGCAAAACAATAGAGAATTGCACTACCTACCAAATCGCAAAGTTAAACACAGTCGATCGAATTGTGGTCGAAGATGTGTTATACGTGACGGCATTGTGAGATCCAAGTCAGAACGCCGTGTCCCTTATAACTTCAAATAAGTTATGGCTATAAAATATTAAATTGTTGAGCTTGATGTTCATTGTACTGCAGAAGGAATGAATACCACAAACCGCACAGAACCCTCCCCCCGTCTTCATATTCGTCGTTCGTCTTAACAATGTTGAAATAAAATTGCCTGCTCTCCCCCGTGAGCTAGTCCGTCTGTCTGTTCACGTACAGATCTACAGGTTACATCACGGGTTACAGCCCGTAAAGTAACATTTTAGTTTAGGAGTTATCGTGGCGATGGCCGTCGTTTGACATTTTGCTGTTACGAGTGAGATGGTTGTTTGACCATTTCCGTTGTCTTGAGCAGACGAAAGCAATACCCGTATACTACACATACTTTGTTGATGTTTGGCCACGTTTGACAGATGACAAGTCCGCCTTGTGAATGCAGTAGCAGACAGCTTCTGCGATCTCGCTTCCGGTACAACCGGCAGTCGAAAATTGTGCCAACAATAATAATCTTAACAGTATATAACGACGAGATATTTGTCGTCTTGTGGCTAGCCGCGTGATGAATCATACGTAGTTTAAGAAATTTCCTGTGTAATATACCCATAGGCGCGTTAATCGCATTCCGTAGAGCTGAGTGAACGAAGAAGTTATTCAGCAAACTCTTAGAGACGCTGTGCAACTATGCAGCACTTATTTGATTATAATTGGAGCCGATATAATTAATAATAGCCGATAAAAAGAAATCAATTTAACAAAGTGAATCTTTGCGAAAGATGCTTTTCAACTTCAAATTGCAGAATGAGGCAGAAAATGCCATTGTCAGAATTGCCGTTCTTAATGACCGGGCATCATTCAAAGACACTTTAGCGGGGGGCTTTTATTGATACTGATCTAATCCAAATCGTGGGCACTAAACTCTTGCTTTTGAATTAAGGAATATTATCGATCCATTTGGTTGCATAACATTGGAACCACTCAGAATCTACAAGTAGAAGGAACCATAATACCAAGCCGGTTTCTCAATATTTCATATATTGACTAAATCTTATTACTTTGATCGAAATTAGTAAAAGTCCCTTTTTACTAAGTTGTTATCTGGTAAGCCAACTGATAATAATCGATCCCACAGAGCAGGAAACATATACAGTAAGGTCTACTAGAATATTTCGACTTACAAATACTTCGAATCTTTGACTGCGTTATCGAGGCTAAGTGTTGGCGATCAACCCTGCGTTACTGGACAGTCGAAATAATTTTATTCAGGTTATCACGCTGCTGCTGCTAAATTTGTTGCAAACGACAGGGTTTTCCACCGTGCTCAGGGTTATTAGTGTCGTCAAGAGCAAATTGACGAGTCCCTGTGATCGAAATTTGCATGCATCAACTACATATGAGCATGAATACACTGTTGTTGCGGCGGTAACGACCAATGTCGCAATATATGGTACAAGTATATTACGGTTCAAACTTGCTGAGGTGAGGGCATCTGTGGCAACGATAATTCCTCACGAAAATACAACAAAGTAAAGGTGTACGTGCACCGATATACGTCCACTGGATAAACGATTTTGTTATCGATAGCACTTTAAACAACGCCAAATGTATGTGATCTTAAACCCGTACAAATAAACGAACCACTTAATAAATTATTGTCGTCGTAAACTGTTTTTCGTTGTTTGTTTTATGCCCAAGTCTAAACCTCAATATATATATATATATATATATATATAATGCAAACTTTCCACTTGACTAACAGTTCATTATTATTTATTGAAGCATTTTATTTATTCAGATAATTGACCGATTTAAATTCGATTTCAGGATCTCATATTGTTCGGCGGACGCGACCTATGAGCGAGTGGTTGCATTCATAGCAACAAACAAAAATGAACTAATGGAGTGCCATGCCTTCCTCTGTTCAAAGCGACGCGTGGCGCAAGCTGTAGCACTAACGATTTCGCAAGCGTTCAATCTTGCCTTCGAACTGTGGAAGAAATCCCGACAGGATGCAGAGAAGGGTAACGCGGTCGAAGACGACAAGAAGGAGAACAAGACTCAAGATGACAACCTGCCTCCTCTCATTGGTACAGTACAAAAAAGAACACCGAAAAAGGCCATTTTAACGTTACTCTGATGAATGCAATAATAGTAATAATGATAAAGAGCAAAATTTCCTCTGTGGTTTTTATGTGTACGAGCTACGTCACCTTCTGAAGACAAAGGGCGGCCCACCATGTGCTAGTGCATGTGAAGCTCGTTTGACGCTGCACGAGACAGTGTTTGCTAATGGCGTGTGCTTCTCGAAGACTTTACAAGCAGTCGGCCATTTATTACTTATTGCTTATACCCTTGATCCCTTTTTAGCGACTTACATTTGTATGTTCACTTGTTTTTGTGCAGATCTTTCGCCGGTAGCAGATGTGAAGCCAGCACAGCCCTGGACAACGTTCGAGGACCAAAGTCATGTGGATGAGCTATTCGCACAGCTTGGCCAAGAAAGTCAATGTGGACAGCCGCTTGCAGATATCGACCGGGGAACGTTTCAGAAGCAGCAACAACAGAATCAATTGGCTTATGATGCACATCACGATCTGTTTAATCTGTAAAGATACACAGCATTATTTTCGTCTGAATGGCGATACGCAGTTTAAGTGAGGCCTCAATGGCATCATTAAAGAGTCTCCGGCAGAAATCATACTATTCGTACACGAATCACTTAGCTCATCAGTTAATTATCTCGAGATCGATTCGAAGCTTGTTTCACATTCAGATATGAAAACAATCGATTCATAGCAGATTTCACTAGACGCTCACGAGCGCACCCTAGCTTCGAGTTACGAGATATTTTCTAGACTAAAAGACACATACAGCTATTGTAAGCTTCGGAAGCTGGTAACTTGACTGAGATGCCTACCAAAAGACGTAAGATATACGATCGAGATGGGGTGATGAAAAAAGTTTTTTCTCAACTTGCGCGCATCTTTCACAGCCCAATACACTTACGATTTTGTTAATAGACATCATAGACGATTTTGAGTTGTTAATGGCAAAGGAATTTACCTTGTCTCTAAGAATCTCCACAAGTAATCAATACATCCTGTGAATAGTTGAATGTATGGTTGTTTCACTCCAACTACATTAAATTAATTTCTTTATTATATTTATATTGTTGTTATCCCGACATCAAATTAAGTCCGGTTCTGTGAGAGAAGAGCAGTAATCATATATATAGAAGCTTCTTATAAATTCCAAACAGTTTTTCAATGCAAGCTAAGGATCGATCCCGGCATTTTATCGTTAAGGAGCTCCGCCGATACTCTGGCGATACATCAGTCCATTTTATATATTATATACTCTCTCTGTGTATTTTGCTTTAAAACAAAAACAAACTTGTAAATCAGTGACGTGCGGTCTCATTAGTACCTACCTAATAACATGATTTCTAACGACTTCTGACTTAACATGAGTGCGGAAGCTGCCAAAAAAGAGAAAAACATTTTCACTATACAGGCGATAGCAACAAAAAGATTTTGTTCCGAAAAACAGACACTCGTTCACATTTACGTATGCGCACGAGTGCATGTACTGCAGAAGATTATCTTTGATTATGTACACTGCAAAGTCCGAATAGAAAACAAGGCAATATTTCATATATTATTTGATTTAGATATATTTTAATAATATAATATTTACGGATGGCGATAATGTATCATTAATATTAAAAAGGTAAATGATACATTACGCTCTTCCATTGACCTTGTCAAAGGAAATAGCCACATCGCTCTTTTATTTTGATTGATTACACAGAAAATGTGAGATAATATGCTAGGTATGTAGCATTTAATAGTGACAACCTAGGTACTGAGTTGAGTGAAAAGTTATAAAAAAAAATTCTTTTTTACACCCCACGAGCCTCTCATGTAATCGTGGAAATAGATAATAAACGTGCAAGAACTGTTACTACATTCCAGAGACGTTATTCCAGAGAAATAACGGTAGCATCGGTGATGATGATGGTGCTATTCATCATGATAATAAATAATGGTAATATTAATCTTTACTACTTTGTACATGCAGATGTTTTTATTTATTGTTGTTACGCTTTGATATAGAAGCCTTATATATATATATATATAGTGCTAAATCACACAGAGAGTTGATATTATTCAAGATTACGTTCTATTAATTTCTTTTTTCTAATATCTGCCGGCGTACTCGAAATATTCGACACTTTGCGGAACTTCAAACAAAACGAATCATTAGATATAGTTCATTCAGTATTTTTCACCCTGGGGAAAAGCCTTCAACATGATTATAGTGAACTAGAGTCATGCGATTTTGCATTTTTATGAAACTTCAATTTGCTTACAATATTTCAACTAATGAAACACTAATGTTGTGCTGTGACATTGTTTCCGGGACCATAAATACTTACCATCAAACCGAAAAGCATGCCAACGAGCTTGTCTAGCTATTTGAGCTGAAAGCATTCATTCGTCCCCTATAGCTGATTTGATGTGCGTTACTGCAATAACAGGCTCCGGTACCGTTGTGCAACATTGTTTTTGTAAGCTCTGAAAAAAAATCGGATACACATGATTATAGTATCTGGATCAAGTATAGGTATTATTTTTAGTTTTTTCCCCACTTTGTTTCATCTGTTCGGGTGGTGCGCCACGCTGGTCCTCGTTTAAGTATGTATTAGTATATTTAGTCAAAAGAGGGTAATTTCAATCATATTCTAATTAACAACGATTTGAAAAAAAAATTAGAAATCTGCGCCTGTTCATGGCAGTGCGCTTCACAGCAACTGAATGCGCAAAAAATACTAGGCCACCTACCATGTTATGTAAAATACGTGGCCGGCTATGGTCCATCCGTGCCGACCTGACCGTCCTCTCAACCCTCTCACGCTTTGACACTGTTTCGGCAACACTTTAAAAAAATTTGTGATACCAGAATTCTGCCATCAAATGTGAACCCAGCACTGAGGGCAGATGGAAAAGCATGCACTTTTTGGATACAGCTGTTAAAAAAAAGTCGATCGAAATAGGTTTCTTAGCTATTGGGTGGATGTCCATAATAACAATTATATATAAAACATTCAAAAGCGACACGACGGCACGAATTTAATTTGCTAGACAATTACTCAATTCAAACAAAGCTACCACCAGATAGTCGTGACCCCCTGTAAATAAATTCACGAATTTATTCAAATAATTTAACTCTCAATAAAGAAATTCACAACATGTCACGAAATTAACATAATTAATAGTATTTTTTCTGCAAATTCTAAAAGAAAATCTGAAATTGTATGATAATACATAACATCTACGCTTATGTGCGCATATCTACTTTTTCTTAAATTCGCATTAGAATATAGTGTAGATGCGAAACATTAAGAGCGCAATAATATAGCAAGAAGGTGTATATTTTTTATCATTTTTTCCAAGTTACAAAAAAATTCACAATTTTTTTTACAATAAAGTTAATCCACAAAGGGCTGTATATATATATCTCAAGTTCGACTAATGTCCATGTAACCAGTTTGAAAATAAAGTCTCTACAAAACTTTAAAAACAGCCCGCATATATGGTTACATGGACATTAGTCGAATTTTAGATATTCTACTTAACAAGTATTAGTTCTTTTTTTTTGCATAAGCCGTCATTTAGGCTAGAGATTAGAAATATTTTAATGATCTATCTATCCCGTAATTGGATTTGTCAATTGAAAGACGGATTTATTATGGTTTAGAGCTTTAGTTAGAACTCATCTCCTAGACTATTAAAAAAACAATTTGCGTGTTGGTCTTTGACAGTCACATCATACACAGGCGCGGGTACGTCATTCCTGTCGATTGTGAAAGAGATCTAATCCCACAGTCAACATTCACTACTTCCTTAAGCCTGCGCCGAATCGAAACTCCCAGTCATGGAGCATGATAAATAGGCATGTTCTGTTTGTAAATAGATTTTACATAAACGCCGGCTGAAGCACGATAAATAAGTACCTTTTGGTTATATGTGAGTATATACTTATGACTTGCATCTGCTCGGGCTTAACATAAGTCAGTTCCTGCTTTTTCCAGCAAAAGAAGCGCTCTTTAAGCGATCTTCGTTGTAGTGGCTTTAATGTTGTACGAATAGTAGTTACAACCTATGTGGATACTGTGATATCAGAATACGCAGGCGGTTAAAGTAAATAGTGGATCGTATCGAAATAGACAGACTTATATCATCCGACATTGTTAAAATAACAGCCAAAGTATATATCAATGTATTAACGTGTCTGGTTTTCGACCATTCCGTGAATTTTGGGTATCAATCCAAGTCAATGTTTCCCATAATTTCATTGTAGTAAAAAAAAGTTTTTGATAACGTCGCCATCCTGGGAAAAAATTGACAGCCGTAAAAATGTAAGACATCGATATAAAATACTGATCTTCCGATGCGTATATGGTAAAGGGTAAAGTATGGGGTAAGTTGTTAACTAGCGTTACCATATCAGAATAATTCGGCATCTAGAGCATTCTTACGTGAAGCACATCTCTTTATTTTACATCCGATACATAGAAATTCGGTATTAGAATAAACACAGCATTATACACACACACATATATATATATATATAGGCACTTCTCACTTCTGTACAATGAAGGTACCACCTATGTTAACCTATTACGTAATACTAAAGCTCAATAGATCAATTCATAAGGTGTCATATGCAACGTTAGAGATGGCTGACGGTATCAATATTACGTAACAGGACGCACTGTATTTGGACAGACGTGCCCTCCATGGCCGTCGCAACTATAAAATGCCAACATTTCGTGAGAAAAAGCGAAACAACTTAGTTCTTAGTTCAAATGGTCTATCCTTGCAGTTGAGAAGCTAATTCATTAACGTTTACCTTCGAGCAAAAAAAGAGACGAAATATACAAACAATACACTTCAATTACTTTATTGCTCTATATAACCCACAATACCTACGTCATTAGAAACTTCTAGAACAGCAAGCAGGGCCGCGACCCATTTTTATTTTGCATCGTTTTTTGCCTTTTGTGCCTTCGCCAGTTTTTCTCGCTTGCGTTTCTCCTGCTTCTGACGTAGCCGCTTCAGCTTCATCCTCACTTTGGGGTTGCTCTTCAATTTAGCAGTGGCCGTTTTTCTAAAATACCAACATTAATTATTAATATTATTACTATTAAAGAAATAGAAACTTACAACGGAAAGCAAACTTTTTAAACTTAAAGTAAAACCATTTATTTATAACTAAGTAAAACTTTGTCTGGACAGATAAGTCTTCTGTCATTCTACTTCTACCCTTTCCACTAGGGTAACGACACTACCTTGCTTTTTCTAAATCGATTCACCTAATCTGTGTCGACATTTATAATCAAAATGAAGTAGTTTAATGCGCTATGCCCTGGGAAAAGAAGTTCTGCCTCTGTGTATTTCCGCCTCCTTGTTTGCCCTGTATCCTTTGAATCTAACTGATAATAAGTTCTAATTTGTCTATCTGGCATCTGGTTAGTTTTTATGAACCCACAAATAACTTTAATTCTACGTAACTTACTTTTTCACCATACGCACGAACTTCGCAACAAACTGAACAGACGTCTGAGACCGAGACTCGTCGAAGAAAAGGCAATTATCGCCAATTTCTGGGTACAGTTCTTCGTTTCCTCGAAACGGCAGATTAGGCAAGGCCTTTTCTAAAGCCCAACTCCCTAAAATAGTAGAGTTAGTTATCTGTCTATATATTTCACGTATAGCCTAACTTTCTTTCGTTTTTGGTCACTAACGCTAAGCAAACATATATCACACGTGAATCAGTGTTTCCTGACCATTTTAGCCCCAGGCTGAACCGTTCCAGCTACCCCTGAACAGTGAAAGGAATTCACCAACATTAAGAAATGAGGTTATACGGGAGCGTAACGACGAGTCATCTTTTAATGCAATACTCACCAAATCGTATTGGTAGTCATTCGTTGCTAGTATTCGTTGGTAGTATTTGTTGCTATGTGCAACAGATACTACGTTCTTCAGAAATAATTACATAAAACAATACACAGTCACCGGGTATAAACATTTCAACAAAGGTTAGCGAATTTGATATTATCCAAGAAACGATGTAGACTCAAGCTCTGCGATTAGAAAGAAAAAAAAGACATTTTTATTTACCTTTATATTTATCCTGTGGCTGAGATTTAGCCCATTCAAGTATTTCCTTGACGACTCCCTCGTTTTCGCGAGGTTCGCTTAAATTTGAACAGAAAAAAAATCAAATAAAGCTTCATTAGAAGAAATGTAAGTTATTGGTTAGTTTTGTGCGAGCGAGAAAAAACGTTAAAAGTGTAATATAATGAATCGGTATTGAGAAATTGTACGTTTTTATTTGTTGAAGATATCAACCAGGTGCGGTTCTGAAATGCCCGAATAAGCTTGTATTAATCTGCGAACAATTAACGAATAAATAAACTATTACTACCTTGAACATGTTGAATAGACTACAGTTTCAACAACAGGGAGTGATAGCGCCTTCTTTAGACAAGCCGCTTGTAAATTAGCCAACTTTTCCACTCGAGCTGGATCCACCTGATAAACACGTAAGTAAGTTACTATGACATAGGCAACATAGCTTAAGAATCTGAGTACTAGCGCGATATGATTTTTTATAAATATATTTTAATATATATATAGACAGACTATATAAAGCAGACAAGAATATCAATCACTGATTTGTAAATCGTAGCTAAAAGAATAGCATCATCAGATTATATACGGTGCGTAATAATCAAGCTGAAAAAAAGGAAATGTGAGAGAAAAGGAAACAAATGTACTTAACCTGAAAATCTATGCATTACAGCTATAATTTTCATCAATGTATACTCTCTACTTTTAATGGTTTTATAATCTAATTATCAATAAGCTATAACAGAACTACGTCGTCACTATTAAAGATTGTAAGGCAATACCCACCTCACGATCGAAGTCGACACCCCCGGTGCAGCTGGGATCGACGATTGCCTTCGTACAGTCTCGAAAAGGAGGATCATTGAGGTTCAATTTGAGAAAATCGACGTTAATAGCTTGTACATCGCATCGTTTGTTTGCCCGACTGGTGCAGATGTTTTGACAAAGAACTTTATACCTGTAAAATACAAAATGAACATTGTACAATATCATATTATGTACAGACTATATATAAAATTTAAAAGTGTTAAATTAAAGCCTATATGTATATATATATATATATATATATAGGTTTTATTTAATGGCAATTAACACTGGTGAGTGAGGTTGATAAGCATATGTAGTGAATTATCGATTATTCTACTTCAATATTCTACTTCAGAGTTTTAGCAATCACTTCTGCCTAACCTTTTCTCGTTCCGTTCACAGCACACAAGCGCTCTACACGTTGCCGCGATCAAAGTTGCTTTATTACCGGGTGAGGAACACGCATCTAACACCATATCATCTGAAAGATGAGAACAATACAGATTTTCATGACAAGCAAATAAGTTATGCGTCGTATTTTCACCAATGTAAAATAAATAATCATGTGCAGGCGTTTTCATACTAAACACAAATATTATATACGCATCGCTTACGTGTGTTAGCACCAAGAGTCCGTACGGGTGCCGCAATGGATTTATCGTACATTAGCACATATTTGCGGCGAAACGCATCCTTATCGTGCAGATTGGATTTGATATGAAAAACCAGAATATCGTCAGGAAAATGCAGATCCCATGTATACTCGAAAATCTCGAGCGTGCGAAGATGTGCATGGTACGCCTCCAGGACGACCTCTATTAAAGACACGTAGTTCGGTATTAAACTTTAGTATGGTTGACTGGCAGAGCTAATAGTTATCGTCCAATAGAAATCACTATTTTTTTATTTACAATTACATATCAAGAGAAATCCAAAAAAATCAGGCACTTTTATGTACCAGGAACGTTATGGCGCGTACCTGGGGTAGTAGAATCCTTCGGTGCTTTAAATTCAGACAAAATGTAACCGTCCTTCTTCAAAGCCTTATCCAAATGTTCACGAGATATGATCAACTTGTTCAGAATTGCGTATCTGAATGGCCCCTGTATTCACACGAACTCACAGGACAAGCTTTAGTAAACTATTAAAGTTCAAATTTCGAAATATTCAAGGCAAATAGCATAACTTAGATAAAAATATTTTTTTCTTTTGATCTTAAGTTCAAGTTTGGGAACTTTGAATATTTATGATATTTTTTTTTATTTATTAGACACTCAGAATTATTAAACAGAAAATAGAAACATTCTTCAGCACCACTCTTCACTAGAGCGACAAGCATACGCGTTGTTGCTAAGAATAGACATAATAAATCATATTTGAAAACAGATACTTTATCTATATATGCTTGCGACTAATTCAAAGGCGCATCATTCCCATTTAATCGGTATCTCTTCAAAGAAAAAGACTTCTTTCTTTTTAAAAACACCTATAACAGGAATCTTTTGCAGGAATGTAGAAGACAACTCCTACCTTAGGAGAACGGCGTTCTACTTTAATTTTTTGTAGTTCCTGTAAAGGAGCCTTTAGCTTCATAACCGCCAGAACTTTGGGATGCTTGCTGACTGGTAAAAACATTTCAGTTGAAAACGCCACGTCGGCTGCAATGACGGCCGCCAATCTAAAAACAAGTCAACACATCGATCGTAATTTACCCAAAATCGATATGCTACAGCCGTAATGAACGAATACACACAAGTTTTGAAAAACCGGCTTGAAACTTCAAGTTTGAACTAGTCGAGCACTGTTTCTATTATTATTATTATTATCATCATTTACAGAACGGATTCGTTCTAACGTACCGTTCATCGCACCAACTAAATGGGAATTCACATAGCTTTAGCGTGTCGATTAGGTTTTTGTAATTATCATACGCCTGAAAAAAATAATTTACTCTTATTTTCGTATCTCATACGTTTAACTTTATTCGTTTTCTGTATAAATGACAGCAAACTTCGCCACAGCCTAATTTTACTTACTACCATATGTGCGTTGCATAAAATGTTGCATTGGAAGGATGTTCACTACGACAAGCTGAGTAGACTAGTCAACTTCAAGTTTACTACACAATATTCATAGGTAACAAATGGTATGGGGAAACACTTGAAAACGTTCTTACCCACCGATTCTAGCTACTCTTACCAGGCAGATCAACTTTTTCAATCTACTTAGGTGGCGGCACTTGTCTTGACGAAATATATAGTCCTTAAGCTGGTTTTTTTTGTCCAGTCGGGCTCCCAAAGCCTTGACAGCTGCTGAATATACTCGGGGCAATCTCTCTCTCTTTCTAGAGCCAATTTTGGTTTCCTTAGCGACATTAAACGCTGCGCTACCACTTTCTGTTGGTGCAACTGTAGGTTGGGCATCATCACTATAGGAAAAGACATCAAACAATTATATTGGACATTTTCGTAGAAGCTGCGTGGGTATAAAAAAAAATTGATGTTCTGCTCAGAAGAGAGTCTAGGTCGCGTAGTTTCCTTACTACATGTTAGCTAATTTCGAGCGTTACTGCAAAATGTAGTTAACTATAGGCTAGAACAAGAATACGAATGGATAGGAACGAAAAGGATTGTCGCTTTGAATTATAAATCTTTGTAATATTTATAATAATAGAGTTAAATGTTTGAACCTGCCGAACTTAGATAACGCCACAGAAGAACAATGGTTTAGAACAGTTCATCTTTAATAACTGTTTCATTTCCTATCGTATCGTCATGTTGTCTTAACAGAACACAAGAAAGACTACTCACGATATCTTTTTTATTTAGTCATATGCATGTAATAAAATGATTGAAAAATTATATTGGTACTGAAAAAATACAATAGAATTTAATTTCAAGCACACGATATGTACGTAACTTGCAATTTTGCAAAATGTCGCGTGTCCAAACAGCTCACCTGTCAGAAATTACTATACTCTCGCCTTTATCCATGCTTTTCGTAGATTCCCAGTAGTTATTCGAATAAAATATTATTAAATACACTTATTATAGATAGCCTAATATTCACAGAAAATTCTTATTTGCACAATTCTTCTCATTCTGAATGAATGATCCGACGCACATGGCGCTTTATTATGTAAACATTGACGAGCGATGGTAGTAGCGCTAATTACCAAAAAATTGGAATGCTGCTGCATGAGTATCATATTTGACTACAACTAAACACGAAAGAGTGCCAATAAAGCTTTGTAGACCTTCGACTTTACAAACGTGCACCAAAAGCTATTTTGTTCATGGGTAGCTCTGTCGAAAGCGCTGGGATGACTGAACTTCCGGGTGCAATAACGCGACCTTTATGACGACAAAGTTCGGAGCTCCATAGAGGCCGAGCAACTCGTTCCACATAACAGTAAAGTACGGACAAAACATTTGTGTTTCATCGCCGTTGTAGTAAAAAAGTGGTGCTGTATCTGCTTTAAAATGGCTTCGATAAAGTTTCAGAAAGTGGTCAGCTTTTCAAGTGAGGCCAAGGTAAGTCGCTGGCTTCAGAAGCGTTGACGCTTTCAACGTATTAAACATGCCTGAATAAATTCACTTAGAGCGTCACGGTATTCTGGCGCCAAACAAACACTTTATGCAATATATTACACAGATACTGAGAACAACTACTTGGAGTTTTTGTGTACTTTGCTTATTGTTCTTCAAAGAGGACTGCTCCGACTATGAGGTTGGCTGGCATGCTGTTATCTCGACTACACCAGCACCCGATAATCGTGCTTGTTCCCTCTGTGTCGATGAAAAACTACAGCAAAACTCGATTGTATACATGTATCGGAGTGTGTTAAGAGTTTTATTCTAGTTAATAGTGCATAATAAACACTGAACAGTAGAGACGTGTGATTATAGGTTAAGACAGTAATAGACTGTGCTAAGTATAATATTTAAGACCATTAAGCAGGAAAAGTATGTAATTTAATTTAAGAACGAGCGCGCTAAACATAATATGGTAAAATTGCATACAGAATTATACAGCACTAAATATGCGAAAATTTACCAATGAATTTAGATGTCCGCTTTATAATTAATTGATATCTTTTACTTATAGATATCTGTAGGAAACTAGGCATCATAGCTTAATTAATCTTATTATTATATGCTTTATTTGTATTATTAAATTTAAATATTCCATATAAATATATATATATATAAATGGCCATATATATGTCAATAAAAGTTGTGCCAATTTTAAATATGAACCTTTGAGACGTTGAAATTAATTTTAACAAATTCTCAAATTTTTTAAAATTCTATCAAGCAAGGATGAATTTTATTAAGTTACCTATTGAGCCGGTTTACCAACGTTTAATCTCGGGTACGCAAGTATTAGCCCTTAATGAACAAGTAGGCGTTGTGAGTTCTTTATGTTGGATATTATACAGAACTGGTCTATAATAGATGGCAACGATATATTATGGCTGGGCAGGAATAAGCTTTAGCGATGTATAGTAACGGTCCATAGGCTCTCTAAGACTCATTGCGTTCCCTAGTAATTAACTTCTTTCTGTTGTTGGATGAGTCGTTTGTTCAACTAAAGTACGCATTAACACATTCTGCTAGGTACTCATGGCATAAACGGTTCCTTTCATGTGCGCAGCGGAACAGAAACGCCTTGATCTGCTTAACGTATATTTTAACCATATTGCAGTTACGTGTCACGAGAGAATATATTATTTAGCTGTCTGTGTATTTTGTATATGATTTTCACAGGCATTCCCAGCTTCAAACCTAATCACCAGTGATAGGTATAAAAAATGGCAGACCCTAAGGGCAGGTGAAGGCAAAGCGTTTGTTATAATAAAACTCGAGAAACCAGCTGTGATCAGAGGTAAATATCTTCTAGTGATTTCAATGGCGTAACTGACATTGTCGCAGTTGGTGTCGTATAGGGTTCAAGACATGCATAACGACTGTCTGCCTAAGCTCTCTTACCGCCCGAAAACTTCGTATTGCAATTACAGAAAAAAATGACGTTTACTCTACTGAATTACAATTTACCCTAGGTCAATCTAATATCTATAAGTTTACTTACTACTTATATAAGCTATATAAGTAGTAAGTAAAGTAATAGAAATTCTAAAACCAATTAGTCTTTGCCGACCCGACAAGAGCATTGTTCACTATTTTATTAGTATAATTGGCTCGCATACTATCCCGATCACTACACACATAGCGATGCCAGTACAGGTGAAATGAGTGAAAAAAGACTTACATAATTTGTATCATCTATTTGTTTAAGCCAGGTATTGACATCGGCAATGAAGGCAGTGCGTTTATCGAGGTTCTGGCATCAGCAAATGGCAAAGACTTCGTAGTTTTACTTCCTACTTCATCTTTTATGAGTCCTATGGAAGCTCGCAATGATGAAGAGCGCACCCGTGTACGAATGTTCACAAAACGTGAGTCATCCTTACTCAGAAGCAGTTTATATTGAGTTCTATAGAGTTACAGGATGGAGAGATACAAGTAGATACATTTGATTCTAATTGTTTTTGGTTCAGTACTTATATCACTTTAGGTCGTCCTAAGGTGAAACAAAAAGATGTTTGAATACAATGAATACAATTGAATACAACCGGATTGTTTTATTATTAGTTTAGATCGGCCCTGTTCGGTAGAGTTCAAGCAAATATACGAAAACCAAATAAAATGAATGATTTGTCTGTTGACCGTTAACCGCTTGAGATCGTCATGTCGAACGGTGTTGGTAACGTCTTTTTGCTGACATTATTTGCTGATTATATTCAGATCGTCATATTAATGACGACAGCCAAATCAAACTTTTAATATTTGGCAAAAAACCATAACACTATATGCACCTCTCTCTCAACGAACACAATTTCAATTGCAGTGGCTGAGAGTGCGTGCGCGAAAGTATGGTCGTATATCAAGGTAATATGTTCCCAGCCGTTCAATAAAACAAAGCCGTTCGGCATAACCTTCATTCGAATTCACGGACCAGGCAAAACAGATAAACAGGACAATTTCGATCAAAGGGTATAGAAAATACCTTGTAATTTGACTGTACATTAAGAAAAACCTTTTCATAATAATTTCAATGCCCATTATTAAAGTTCTATCAATGATTAATAATATTAGGCGGCCTTCAGCTTTCTACAAAATTTTTGCAGCGTTAATGATTGTAACCTCTGGGGATCCATTCCGAAGCTCGTTCAAAAACATTTACTAAATTTGATCGCTTCTATCGAAACGAGCTATTCTATTTATTTTCGTTCGAGTTGAACTAATAGTGCCTAATAAAACCGTCAGACATTACATGGCTATATTTTATTATTTTTAACTTCTACTAGACAAGCTTGAGTCAAAATGACACATTGATGTGCAATACACAAGAAGCTCAAAGCAGAAAAGGAACGGGACCGTCAAAAACAACAGATACTGAGACGAAACAGTTGGCACCTCCAAACCGCGGCCGGGAGGTCGAATCCGATGACGAAATTGAGGTAAGTGCGACCCAATCAGTTTACTATAAGGGCATATCCTTTAAGCAATTACAAATATGTAAACAATACATTTTTTTTTATTTAACATAGCCGAAACTAATTGAAAGCCACATTTCAGAGAGAAGGTGAAGCAGAGTCCTTCGCATCACGGGCGGACTCTGCACACCCTAGCACGTTACGTCAAAGTGCGCCAGGTTCAGTCAAGAAATCAAGTCAAACGGAAAAAGCTGCGCAAAGGCCTGATCCATCGAAGATTATGCAAGGTGTTACCTTCGCCCTCAGTGGATTTCAAAATCCTCTTCGATCACAAATTCGGATGCAGGCCCTGTCTATGGGAGCCAAGTAAGGTCACATGTTCAATCCCACAGCAATTCACAAACATATTTAGTTATTAGGAAAAATAATAGAACACGCGCTACAATTTTTACTGTTTTAAGTAGCTTATGATTTAACATTTATTTAATATTTAACAGTATATTTTTGTTTATTCAATGGACCTAATGGAATTTCATCATATATATAATATTTATTTAGTTCAGTAATATATGTCAGATATAATTCCACATACATATGTAAAAGAGTAACACTGAATGACATCTTAGAACCTTTTTTTGATTGGCTTCACATTTAAAGAGGCATGTATGAACCCGTAGCTTTGTTGAATAAGTAAATACGCAGAACATTATTTTTTATTGGACTAATCTGCACTGACTGTTCCGTAAAGCTGCCCGAAGCAGTTTGGTAGAATTAACTACCATGAACGTGTTAATTTCGGATATTAATTGTTGAAATATATTAAAATGAATCTTGTTTGCTCAGTCAATTGAATCAGGTGGTTCGTAATTTAGGACAAACATTTTTTACTTTATTTGCAAGATATTCTCATAAATATATTTAATATATTTACTAGATAGCTTTAATCATATTACTCGAATGTATACGTAGTTATAGAAGAGAAAAATGCTTAACCAACAACTTTATGCCAAAATTCGAAAAATGAGCATAACACAATGAAAACAACTATCTCTGGATCGCACTATGTTGAAAATAGCATTGAAGGTAAACAATGATTTTGTTTGTCCCTTCTGCTGTGTGATTTGAAGATAACATATACCAATAATTTTTGTCCGTTATTGAAGTGGTGTATTCTGTTTTAAATATTACCTCCCTGCAATATTTGTTTTTGATGGCTGCGTCGTCTGCTGCGCATGCTTTTGCTCACTGAGCGCAAGTTCTTTGTCAACACCTGGTGGTTATTAGGGTTGAACAATAATTTGAAGTATAAGAATGGTGACAATTCTACTATTATTTCTAGTGTAAATGTCGAAAAAAAGCTACAAAAGCTGTTGGTAACTAACTTATCAGATTCTACATGAATTTTTTTATCTTGTATTTATCTTGTAACGTAAAGTGCCAAACTAATCTCCTAATCATAGTTTTCGTTCAGCTCCACAATTTCTTTGTCTAGAGCCTGCGCTGCCTATAAAATAATTTTAGAAAAAAAAGTCATGGCGCTACGTTGTTTGTATTTAGTCCAATGCAAATTATTAGACCTCTATCCTTTATAGAGCGTGCCGCCGGTACTTTTTGCAGGCAGCAATAGCAAATACTAGTGTGTTTCGATATATGCTAAACAATTAATCCGTGTCTTAAGGCATGGAAATGCATACCCAGCAGACCTGGGTTAGAAGCGGGGTGGGACATGGCCCCAAAGAGGATATCTTCACACAGATTCGTAACGTCTACAGAGAGCAGGGAGCACACCCGGAGGGGAGACAAGAAATGCTTCGATTACTCGAAAGCACAAATCTCTCGGTACGCAAGCAGATTGTTCAAGAAGTTGTTCGTCTGGGCACATTTGTTCTACACTGTTCGCGCCAAGAACTTGAGAGGCTGTGCGATTTATGTGAAGTGGATGTGACTGCAAATTCGTTCGATTTACTGTTGGGGTGCGCAATGCGATTTCGCCACTCCTGGGAACGATTAAATCGATCGACCCGTGAACTTGAACCAGAAAAGCTTACGACCGTAACTGATATTGTCGATTTTTTGCTACAGCGGGGAGCCAACATAAACGTCACGAATTATGAAGGTTTAACGGTGCTTCAGAAAGCAGCAGAGGAACGATGTGGCCTGAGTGGACTTCATGTACTCATCTCGCGAGGGGCTACAGGACTAACGGAAAACGTGGCACTAGATCCAATAAAGAGTGCAGCTCTTCGACAGGATATAACGGAGTTTGAACGACTGATAAGTCAACCAGACATTGAACATGAGCGGGTTGTCGAAGCGATGGAATTACTTTGGGCCATCAAACCTGAGGCCCGAAATCGTGTCCCGCAACCACAGCAATGCAATCAATACCTATTAAAGGGCCTTTTCCGGAGAGAAAAAAACAGCATACCACAAAAGCAATGGGTAACGTCATGTCCATTTCTGGCTGGCGCTCGCGTGCTTAACTCATTTAACGATCTCTATCGGTACGGCAAGGCGGAGGATACCGACGAACATGTCCTCAGCGCAATATTGATTATTGAGAAGGCATTTGGTAGTATCGATGCAATTGATATTGAAGTCGGGTTAGCTATCATGCAGATGGCGGCCAGCTTCTGTGGCTCGTCAGCATTGTTGTCTCGCATTCTTCGGGAACTTTGTGTTAAACCCAATTTCCCGCTAATGTTGTGTGTTCCTGTAATGAATCCTCGAGCTAAGGATCTGACTTTTCGAAATTTTGCATTAACTTGCGTTGCGCTATGTCGCGTGGAAGTGCCAAGAGCTTGGCGATGGGATCTTGTGAATCACGTACGTTTTCTTCTCAATGGCTTGTCAGGCAAGGATAGCCCAGAGGCGCAAGTAGCAACTCTCCGTAGCAACGAGGAACGGACGGCAGCTTTATATGCAATTGCGTTTACGATGGACCAGGCCGGTAGGTGGGGTGTCGACGGTCTAGCAGAAGAACGTTGGCTACTCGAGCTTGTCAAGGACGGAGCCAATGTTGGCGCTCGTGGATGGTCAGGTCGAGGTGCTGACCGGAACTCACCAGCGGCATTGGTACTTAGCTGTTCGGGCTATTCATACGCGGTGCAAAAGGCGTTTCAGGACGCAGTTGGTTGCTGCGGTCTAACTCGTCGGCCACAGCGGCTAGTCACAGCCGTTGAGCCCTTAAGGTGTCTTGCGGCGAGGCTGTTGCGCCAATATCCTGCCGAGCTGACGGAGGAGTTGAACCATGTTGTTCTTCGAGGTGGCGTGATTCTTAAAGATTTCGTTGATCTACATCCAGTGCCTTTTAATGTGAACGTTAGTAAACGACCGCGTCTTTCCGATGCAAGTCACAGCAGGTATTGGGACTGATTGATCAACGAGTATGCGAAAACAAAATGAGATGAATGCGTTATATGGAGATTATGCGAATAGTTAAATAGACAGTTAACGATATTGAAGAAAATATTTATAGGAAATGCCGCTGCTGGCCGATGTAGACACTAATACAATGATACCTACAAGCTAGTACAAGTTAGGCAGCAAACTGATGCAAATCGATGCAGACGTTGCTAAACATAAATAGTACAACATTAAAAATAGACTTGTTCATGCGACTTAAATTATGAAATATAGGGAAAGAAGTATAATAGGAAATATATATATATATATATATATGAGTGTGAAAGAGATGTACACTAAATTATCTAGGTATTGATAACCTCTATTGTAATGATGTGTAAGCTACTGTGAAGTCACCGGTTTTGCGACTCTACACTATCGAGCCATGGCACAATCGTGTCACTAGTAAGCAAGCAAGTTTCACGTAGCTTATATGATAAAAACAAGAAAAAAGAACATCTTTAGTGTGATCTGTAGAAGGCGACAATGATTTTACCAACAGCATAATTATTGAGTGATTTCAAGGGGTATATCACTGCATACCAAATGCTTACGTCAATAAACAAATCCCTGTTTTTCTTTTATAAACAACGCGAGGCCTTGGTCATTTTGTGATCATGGTTGCGTATTTATAATATTTACTCTTGATAATTACTGAATTTTGCCTTGGTTAATATACAAGGTAAAATGGGTTAACCTGGGTAGTTTTTTATTGTTCCATTTTATTATGAAACACTGCCGCGTTTTACCACCAGCCATTATACATTTCTGACCTGTGATTTACCATTAATCATAAAAATAACAATAGTAATAACCATAAGAAGACAAAGAGGAAGGAGAAGAAAAGAAATGTGGCGAATTAATTTCTAGTTCAAGCCAAAATATATCACAGTGTATATCGTAATGCTGGTTTTGTTTGGCTCATTACCGTTTCTACTTGGTTGGAAAAAAAATATGATAATACTGGCTGCATATACATAACTGCACATATCCTGACGGACGATTTCCTGTCATAGGTAAAGACAAATAAGACAGTAATTTATGCATGTCAACCATGTTAAGACACTACGGAACCGTTATATCGGTTTGTAGAAATTACTAGCGCTTAGTAAGTTTATATTGGCGTAGGTGCTTAATGCCTTTATTCTTCAAACCAAGTACCACACATCCACTCTAATTTAGAATCCTAAAGAAAAGCATAAGGTATAGTAATGCATTTATCTAATGTACCTGGGGTTAAACCACTCGAATGAATCTTAATCAATTTGGGAAATTCTAGCATGTTTTATTCGGCCAAAGCAGCTCTTTACGTTAACCTAGAAATACATGTCTTACTCATAGCATTAAAGGTTAATCCGGAAGAACATCTCAGTGAAAAGTGAGAGATACGTTAAATGTTTGCTGAAGTTTTACTATCATTACAAAATCATTACTGAGATTTCGTCATGGTGGCCTAATAGTTATTGGTCGGTAGCAGCATCAGGATACGATTTGTAGTCAAGGCATTCACCATTGATGAAGGACCCCACACCACGTCTTCGCTGGGCCTGACAAAATGTTGCATTAGAGCACGCTGTACATAAAACTGTTTTTATAGATAAATAAAAATCTACAAATATTATGGTTTTACATGTGACAAAAACGGTGCTTTTTGTTAGTAATTCATACGGAAACATGTGTAGTTGTGCCTTAATGTGAATATCCTAATCTTATTTTTCAGTCTCATATCTGTTTATAAAAAAATTTCCCTATCTAGGAAAAAAATTTCCGTAGAGAAAAAATAAAATGGCTTCTATAAGTTTTTCAACCGAGGTTTTAACTGGCCGAATCATTTGTTGAACATTGTTTGCGGATGATTACAACTGCTAACAGAACAATACATGAATCACAATTTTGAATCATTCTTAGAATGACCAGACCACTTATGACCCAGGTGTTTTGTATTAGCTGAATCCAATCATACTCTTAGAATAACTAGAAGTTCGCAAAATATTTTAATGTTTGTACGTATAGCTAGCCTAAGAAAAAATAGCATTTTTTTTTCTGCTTATTTTATGATTGATGTACCGATATGAGTTATCCAGCGTCTCTCGGTTTACCAGCCAAAAATCAGCACAAAATATCTTAAACTTGCTCAGAGTCCGGCTGAGCATCCTACGAATCCACAAGAATTGTTACTTGAAGCTAGGTTAATTGTTTATACAATCAAGTATAGAACAGTGGAAAATACAAGTCATGCGTGGAAAAGTAGGTTTAAATATAAGATGGCTTATAGGAAGTACGCTACCGAGAATACCATTGACTAACAAGAAATGAAGTCTTTTTCCGCTATAAAATGAATGTAATTTGAAATCGTTTTATTGATTTTTGAGGAAAATGTTGCCTGTGTTTACAACTTTTTGCAATAACGAAAACTTATGCTTAAAAAACTTTACTTGAGCCACTAGCCTAAAAAGCTGTGAATATACGTTATTAGGTTTAATTATTATTATGATCTTTGCAGAAACACGATGTAGAACCTCTTTTATAATAAAAAACTTTTAACAATTTTGTGTGCAATAGTTGCTCTTGAATATTCCTAGGTTTTTTTTTTTCAGGAGAAAGGTATCTTTTTAAGTTCATCTAATCTATTAAACAAAGAGGTGTCAATTAAATAGAAGTAAGAATTACATTTTCGAGCTTATCTAGAAAACGTCAAACCTATGTCAATATAGTGGGTATATCGTAGTTAACGGATCTTAGTCATGCAATGGGAAAAATTTGGTTTGCGAGCTAGGAATACGTAAAGAGAAATTCAAGTTTAAATGTCTAGTTGTTTTTGATTGCTTTCTCTTTATTTTTTCCTTTTATTAGATTAATTCACTTTTTGAACAACCCATAGAAATACACGTTGACTTCTTTCGCAAGGAACACAAGGTACACGTGCTCCAAATTACTTCCACGGCTGATAGCCTTAAGCTTATGTTGGGGACAGTACACTGTAATTTTTTTACGAGAAATGATGATAGTAATATACTACAAATACAGACACACCGTTTTTTCTTCTGTCAATAGCACAATATCTACTTGAAAAGTATTTTTGTCTGAGTTTAACTCTGTATAGAACAGCAGTCCCAGTCTGTACAATACTGAATATTTCAAAAGCTTTCAGCGAATCTTAGCTTCAAGTTAAACTATACGGCAGTGAGTTTGTCAACGGCACCATAGCAGTTCGCCAGGCTTTAAGTGGGATAATACATTCTACTGCTTTTATTTTTGTGAAAATCTCTGCAGCAATATTTGTGCGCATTGTTGGCATAGGATAAAAAAAAGTACATACGTTTTGAGGCCTTACAAGAAAGCTTTCTGGATGATTATTGAAGACAATTGAAGACAACAATCTAATAGATGGTTTGGTGCAACTCTCTCAAACTAGAAAAAGCAATTTGTAATGCAAATCACTTGGGTGTAAGAATTTGTTAGATATAACATTATACTATAATTATTGTCATTGATAATACGCACGCAGTCACACCTGGGTGTACACATGTTTTGTGCTTGCTATATGTGTGTGCCTAGATACATGCCTGACTGGAGTGATGAATGCACACACTTAATCTGTGCATTTGCGAATACGCCGAAATGGGCGCAGGTAGCAGCCATTGGCGGTAAAATTGTTACGCGCGATTGGATCGATGCTTGTAAACAGGCCGGTGCGCAGATCGCTTGGAGAAATTTCAAATGCGGGAAGTATCGAGACAAGGTATGTAATGATGCGGTAATGATACTTATCTTTTCCAAAAGTTCAATAAAGTTGACGCCTAAGGAAAATTGCATAAAGATGTAATTTTTTTTTAAATAATCAGAAAGCTAAGGTAAGACGAGGTAAAATGCTTTTTAATTTCTGGATACCGATAAGAGGTTTGCATCGTATCATTGTTTGGGTCGTCAGTTGCAGGTTTACGCGCTATCGACTACGACAGTGGCTTCATATATATATAAACTGTAACTTAAATTTTGAAATTATTCGTTGAATTAATTTTGTTTCATTCTATGAATATAGCTAAATCTGTGTCCACTATGTTAGTGAATGTTAAAAAATGCGTTCAAAAATCTTACGTGATAATCTCTTACCCCTTTGATAAGACACGAGTATGTGTATCTTGAACTGAAATCCTCACTAGTCTCTGGTGCAGGCCAAACTGTACATGCATACGTTACTTACACGTACACTACGTTCCTTTAAAATATTCCTCAAAAGAGCAAATTAACACATTACTTGACATATTCATTCCTACAATCTGTACCGTAATCTCCCGTCGTATCCAGTATGGTAGCTTCTAACATAAACTCGTAATGCTAAGTGCGTATTACGAAAAGGTATGTCATATGCTCATATATAAAGGTACTTGACGTCGTCGACACCCCCGCTGACGACGACTCTGAGGCCGATAAAGAAGAGGAGGCCACAGACGACGGGGACAGCGATTATATTCCTACTAAGGAGGAACAAATTGACATGAGCCATGAAAAGAGGGACGATGAACTTAATGAATCACTTCGAGTGAAGGGTGACGATAACTATGAAGATCGTGAAGAAGGTAAATCTAGAATTGTGCGTAACGCAGTAATGTAGTAGCATTTTCATAAAGATGTTCAATACTGTGCCGGCTCTGGGAACTGGTAGCGCTGATGCGTGGCATACAAAAACCTACGCCAAAATGAATAAAATGCAAAAAGACATAGTTTTTCCAGTACTAGCGAATTATTGAATACATTTTCATGATGTTGTAGAATACAATCACAAGATACAGATTAACTCCGTTATATGTGGCTAATTTTTAACTCAATTTTCTATCGCCTTAGATGAAGACGACTTTGTGGATGACGATAGTCGTCGGAAAAAACGACCCAGGAGCAAGAAACGGTTTGGAGTCAAAAGTAAAAGCACGCTTAGTAAAGACGGTGAATGTAGCAGAAATGGCACTAAATTACAAAAGGTGGATTCACCTTCAAAGCAGAAAACAACAAAAAATTCTGAATCCCTGGACGAATCAATGGACGAGGACGACGACGTACCAGAATGGGATGGCGGCGATCTGGGACGTTTTTTCGGTGGAAAAACGTTCTACATAAAAAGCGATGTTGAGAACGAGGAGGACAGAAACACTCTTGTGAAGTACATTGTAGCTCATTGCGGGTTAGTTAAGTCACGTCAGTCACTTTTTGCGCTCTTGTGCGCAGTATGACGATACATAAATGAGGTTACATATATGGGCCTAGCTACTCATTATATACAGAACAAGAGGTAAATAGAACCGTAAAAGGACCAGCTTACATAACTGCTTAATAACACGCGAATTGAATGATACCTGTTTGGTCTCGAAAGACTGATCTACTACGCTTTGTATGTAGTCGTCTTCAGTAGTTCATATTTAACTAACTGACCGTTTCATTACCATCGTGTGCATTTTTGATGTGCTACTGTTGTTTGGATTATTCGCTTAATTCTGTAAGATAGACGTTGCTACTTATCAGTAATCTGGATGCTTACTTTCAGAAGTTTAACCCGCAATGCGGCCGCAGCTGATTTTGTGGTTTCGTGGGAAGCAGAAGAGCGGAGCAGTAGTGCGTCCTCAATGCGCAGCCCCCTTTGGGTAGTCAAGTGTCATCAGGAGAACAGGCTTGTTGAGGAGTAGCAAACCGCTTAGCTGTCGATATCGCAGTTCATCGACCCACGTTTGCTCTGCATTCATTTTTATCGGGGCCACTACTCGGGAAGAAAGGCGCTTTTGTCGAGAATTCGTACACCATTTGAAGTACCTCACGTCAAGACACAATGTATAATAGCCTGTCAGGAAGATTTCCAACTAACTTATATTTCACCAGACCCATCGTAATTATGTCGCCTTTACGAGAACTGCTGCTGAAAGTTTTTATATAAGAAATCTAGTCTAAGGTTATTCGAATATTGCAATTGAAGGTTGATTGATTCAGTTCCGCATCCGCATATCTCGAACACATGTATGAAATATAATATGTAAATGCCCTAGTAACGACTTATATTGCTCCTTAGCTATATTATCATTCATATACAATCATCTGCGCAAGTATTGTTATCATCGTCTTTGTTGGCATAAACTAACAAACTTTTCTGGCCGGTGACTCAAAAATCTTCAATGAGTCGTCGGATCTCTGCTGTTGGTGCCTCAAAAAAGGATTGTTACTTATTGCATGTTTCAAGCCAAAACATGTCTCATGAAAGTGATTAAATGGTATAGTATTATAAATTGTTTTTATGTTTATTTTATCTGTTTCTACGCTGTTAAATAGTGCTATTAGTGACTTAGAGAATACGATTTTAATCAATTTTTACATTGTAGGGTGTAAAATACCGCTTCCACGAAAGACGTGGAAATGTTTTTCTTAACTTGTAAGCGTATGTTTATTATGCAAATATTTGTATATTGTACATAGAGTACAAGGGCGATCTCAGTGGATAGTTTTATGTGGCGTATACAAGATTTGAATAGCAAGTCATCGCTTGATTTTGTTTAAAAAGAAAATTTACTCTGTATAAGCGTAATTTCCATCAAGTATCCAGTTTAAAACTAATATAAGTAGTATTAACATTGCAAAATATGCATCAAAAAATAGATTTTGATAATACTGAATACAGAAAATCATGTAATCACCTCTATCGTTTCTTACGACGATGATTGATTAGTCAGGAGGTAAATGCTTGAGGTTCTTCATATATAAAACAACCGAACATTCTAGGTAAGATTGACCGAAACTTACCTCCCACTGATTCGTAAAGCAGTAATCAGTAGTCTGACTTCTTTACGCTACGTTGTATAAATTTTACACCTTGTTGTTCAGCACCTTTCCTAGACTCTATAGCAGTAAGATTATTGTCGGATCAAAGTCGACGGTTAAAGTTAAGTACTAGAAATACCAAATGTTCATAGCACTTGCTTATAAAGATGGGCATTTTAAGATGTATTGAATCAAAAAGCCGCTTCATTTTTCTTTTCCAGCGAGATGTCGAGTTCTTACAGACTGTTTTATCTCGGTATCTAAATGCTATTTAATCCCAGCTATAGTCTTAGCAACCGACTAGTTATTGCGAGTGACCTCGCAAAGTTATACCTGTGACACCTGTAGTACCAAAAAATATAGAATGCATAATGATCCTACGTGAGGATGGAAAGCTGTATTCTCGTAGAAAATTAACTGGCTACAACCAAAAATTATAAAATGATTTGTATGTTATAACTAGTTAATAGAATTATTGTGGAATTTCTGAAAGCTTCTTCTACTGCTACAAGAAACTCATCTCGTTCTACAGAACAGAAAGCATAGTACGTTCAAAGGTCTCTTGTTCATTAACAAAAATCTCATTGTGTAAACTTCCTCTGTAGTTTGTGCTCCGATATTTTATATTAGTTGTGGTATTTTCTGCTAATTAATGTATCTTTTTTTCTACAATTAAATAGTTGCTTTAATCAGTACTATACAATGTTTTATGATCATTTTCCTTATCTAGGCCGATTTTCTTCAGTGAACTGGTTTTTACTATAAAAAAGCGAGTAAGTATGGGCTCCGGGAGGGCTTATCGTAGACATAAACTCAACACTAAACCTGCTATTAGCAGTCATTTTAATTTTTTGCGTCTTTTTGAACAATTCTTGTAATTAAACGTTATCATATTGCCAATATCGAACCTACGCATCGTCGAAAAACGACTTCTGATTATTGCTTTTTTCGAGGATTGGTCGTGTTGACCGAACATGGTTGGGATTGGTAAGCAAGAAATTCCGGTAGGTGTCGCATTGAGGAAACGTCTCCAGAAATCGAAATTCGCAATCAAATTTGAAAACCGAAGGCGAACCCTCCATAAAATATTAAGTATATTTTTATTAAGAATAGTTTAGCTGCTTTGGTTTTGAATTGCTGTAAATTTAAAGTAGATTGCAGTACCTCGCTTCGAAAATCTTTTTAATTTACTCTTGTTGATGTTACTTGGAGTTTAATTATGTTAATTGAAGCAAGATTCGTTTTAAATGCGGTTGACCACCCAAAGAATAATTCCCTCTGCTCGGATTCTTCTACGCAGCAAATTTCTCAGATTTTTCTCACAATTAAGGTTGTTGTTTAATAGTTTCAGATGGTTGTTAAATATTCGAAACTCTCAAACAGCTCCTTGCCGTCAAAAAGAAAAGAAGAAGAGCATTGCGCAAAATATCAAAGCAAATTTAGTGCTTTTTATCTAAGCAATACTTCAGGTGTTTTTAAACCACTTTTAAAGTTTATGCCAGCTACCCAACTACCTGCTCCTTGAAGCCAGTAGTTACTCATATATAGCGCCCCATTTTCCTTTTATTATTATTATTATTATTAGATTTTTTATTTTTTATTTATATTAGAATATTTTAGAATTCTTCTATTTCAGTATATTCATCAGCGTGTTCTTCATCTCTCATCGAATCAGCATTTTAGTTATACTCTTTTTGTGCTGCGGTAAGTAACACTGATGACTTAAAATGTCACTCAATATTCATTACGATGTGGGTATCTTTTGGTTGCTCGATGAATACTGATATGGAATATTCTGCACCTGCTGGTTGCATGATGTTCCTTTCTACTCAAGCAACAGAAGTTTTCTTTAATACGAGCTGCCTACGTACCAATGCAGACGTGAAAAAAATAGGCCCTCTTCCTGATACGAGTTCTAGATTAGCTGGACATTAATTAAATTAACGTGCACATTCGTGTACACGAAAAGAGCAGCAAACAACTATCTTTGCTAGGCCGTGCAACCGCCCGTCAGCTATTCTACGACTGGAACGCCTTTAAGACCCCTTCTTACCCTGCAATTCCCCTGGGAAAAAGCTGCCTACCATTCGGCTTCTCAGAGTCAGGCGCCTAATAAGTAAGCGACAGGAAACTGTAAACACGTTATTCAATAATCGTTACGAATGTTCTATACTAAACTGAATTACGTACAATGGATGCTAATATCTATTGTGTATTTCACAACTCCACTCAAATCAATTAAGGAAAATCTGCTAAAATCCTTTTATATGCCTTGATGTGCCTTGCGCCCGACGGTCAGAGCGTCTGACTAAACGAATAAGCGAACTATTCCTGGCTTTCATATGAGTTCCTTTCAATAACGGTATCATATTGTTGGTATGGTCACGTACGTCTAGTGTTTACTATCCAGCATACCCATGTTTTTGGGTATTGACAAACTGGTGCAGCCTGTTTGAATTGAGTGTATAGGTTATTGTGTGTTCACATTTCAGGACGACCGACTTCCTGTAAATATGCTTCAATCAGGAGGCAAAATTCTGCGAGCCGCAATTCGTCAGAGGTAAGTGCTACAAGAGAGAATGTTATAAAGTGTTAAATAATGAATCATTAATCATCATGCTTAAAATTAAGCGGGATATTGCCCGACGAGGAGCGCCTGTCTTGGGCATATCTGCGCTACGAGCGATCGGTTTCTGCGAAAAAGAGATATACGAATGCATCGTTTGTACTATCTATCTGTATTCATCAAGTGATAATAAGAGGTACTTTTGACACTGTAAGCTTCATTAAGGGGGTGTTGTGTATAGCTTAAAAACGACAACATGTTTGTCTTGTTAGGAATAACTGTTGGTAGTGGATCGACAACTTAGCTGCATAGATTTGCTGAAGTTTGGTACATAACCGATACGCGGTCTTATAATTTGAACTCCAGCTAAACGGTATTACAGGTAGACATATGTTGACGTAATATATGACAATTAGAAAAGAAATGGTCGCGACACGTCGAGACGTAGACCAAAGTTGTCGATTAGCTCAGGCAAAATTTCAGACGACGTCGTTGTTATCCAACTAGATATTCATGTGTCACCAACAGGCTACATATTTCGTTTCGAAATATTCTTATACTGTTGTTAACTAGAGTTAAGGTGCAGTTACAGATGCGCCTTTTGACTCGGCGTATCTGATACCCAAAGCACGCAATATTGGTACCCTATCTAATTATATATGTGGTATATAGGTGGACTTCGTAAACGCTTAATTTTGCTCGCGGTATCTATATGCTTTGAGTAAACCTTATTCTGCATTTATAGCCATCACTGAGAGCACATAATGAAAGTTTCATCCTACATAATGGGAAGAGCCTCTAAACGTCTTTGTGGTCTTTCTCCGTTACTACCGGGCGCGAGTGGGCCAGAAGAGGCATTTCCTGTGGAACGGCACTCGCACTATGGTTCATGCGCTGGCAAAATGTTCGATCTCCTCAGGCTGACTTTGTGCGTTGTCAACACTACAGCCGTGCTATAATGCAAGGCTTAGTTAACAAGTCTTATCTGTCCTGAAGACTGTCGAGAGTGCGATCGATTCGTAGAAATCTAGATGCGTTTAAATCATGCATTCTAACTTTGAGCCCACAAAAACCAATATGACCCTGCTCTTTGAATGTTAAAATGTTTTTAGGTCAATATAGGGACAACTGACATCGTTTGAAACTTTGTTTATAACTTTACAACTTCCGGTATCAGATGCTTATCTCACGTTACTATTTAAGGTAAAATTATAACACGTTTTTTTCTTGGCAATATCTACATATATGTCGTAAGCTCAACTGTAGATGAAGACTCATTTTAATCTGTCATAGGAAATCTACGAGTCTAAATATAGGAAGTCTATGGCAGATAGCAAATAATATAGAAGTTTGAATTTCAGTGCTAAAATCCATTTCTGTATCAGTATATGGCTCACTGTAGGTCTCTGGCAGTGTCAATGCGGAGAACTTTTAACCTTGTACAAAAAAGCTTGAAATAGCATTTATTACGATCTTCGACTCCACTAAATTGATACAAACTTAGTCAGTTAGGGCGAATCAAAATTGGAGCTTTTGAAATAATAAATCATATTTAGGTTATATGGTTATAAAAAGCTAAGGAGATTTGTGCATTTATATTTATTAACGTATTTCTTGGAAAGGGTGATCGAACTTAAATATTTAAGTTGAAAACCTCTAGCTTGGATTTAAATATTTAAATCCAAGCTAGAGGTTTTCAATCATTACAGCTGATGAGTGGAACAAGATTGCGGATGTACCAGGAACTACCCGAAAAACATCATAGTTAGAACACCTAAAGCCAAAGCGTGATATATAAAACAAAAAGCATCTAATTAGATATTGACCCTGTCATTATCATATTTACCTGCTACTCTAAGGTTACTTGAATTAATTTTAGTGACTCGTTGGAAGAGGAGTTTGACTTTATATTTTCTAAACAGGAAACTGCGATTTGTTAAGAAAGATCAGGCCTAGGCTAATATAAAAGATGGTGACCTAAAGATTCAGCAGGCTGTCTTACAATGGAATACCGCTCATGTATCCATTTCCAAGGTTGGAGAACCGTTTTAAACCATTTCAGCGAGACACCATTATTCGACTCAAACCACTGTTATGAACTTTCTTGATCTAATTCATTTGACGAATTGTTTTTATTAATACTTTACACAGTCAACGTAAATCGTAAACTTATGCATGGTTGTTAATTACGTTAATGTATGTTAAAAAAGACTGATGATTAAAATTAACGTAAACAGTTAGCCGAGCCATCAGTTGACCAATATGCACAAGGTAAAATCTAATTGATGCAATGCGATAGGAACAGTTAAGGAAGCTCAAATGATTTCGTAGAGACTGTGCTTATCTTACGACGACAAGGTGGACGCGTTTCCTACTGCGCAAGTACGGCGCTATGAGAAGCAGGGAATGGACAACTGAAAAGACACGGCTTCCACTAAACAGGCAGGCAATGTGATAAGCAGACCGCTAATGACGATGTAAACATTGATAGTCGAAAAAGCAATTACAACATAGCAAACATTCAGCTGAGGAATATTTCTGCGTTGATAGGCATTCGAGGTGATTAGGAGAACTACTGCCTGTAGATATCAATCAAGGATGTGAAAGATTAATTTGAAGTTTACGTGGAGATTGGCCTGAGATTTCAGGCACCATCATTCCCGTTATTTTTTACTTAAAAAGACCGTTGAAAATGGCGAAGAGCTGTAGAAACAGGGACGGTCTTTTACGAAAGTAAGGCGAAATAAAAGGTTGGCAAATTTCTCTGTTGATAAAAAATTCTTACCATATTTTGGATGTAATTTTTTCGTGATGTAACAGGCACTTGTTAAGCTTCATAATAGATAACACATAAGAACCTTTTTGTTCTTGAAGAATGTTGTGTAACTTTACAAAAGAGTTGTTCGTGCTATACAAAATAAGCCAGATAAACGTATTTGCCGATATAGAATATATTCCCTTTTAAATAGCATTTTTACCGCTAGCCGTTTCATTTAACTAAATAGTAAAACTAACAAGCAACGATTGACCCATCAGGTTCTTAACAAGAGGGATAATATTCTAATAATAGAGATATAATAATAAAGATATATAATAATAAATATATAATAAAGATTGGCGTTAATAAAATCGTTGTACTGGTGCTATGATATCATGGAGTTTCTACGTGTTCATACGTGTATACGTTTTTCACCAAGTGCGGCAAATTCTGCCTTAATCAATGAAAACAGGGTACCGTCACCGATCGTATTTATTACGGCGTAGTTGCTACCTTATGATATGGTTGATATTTTTCGAAGAAGTACTATCCAATACTATTTTCAGTAGCCAAAATGATATGTTAAGGGCAGGGGTAGTTAACCGTGTTCGGTATTTTACATGTCTTCGGCGGTGCAGCTCAACTAGTCGGATTGCTGTTCAGCAATGTCGAAACGCTAGTGCACTGCAATTGTCGGCGGCAGTTCCCGAGTTCGAAGTTACAAATGAACCAATCCTTGATTATCTGCCGGGAAGTCCGGAAAGACAGCAACTCGAGGCCGCCCTCAACAAGTGGAAGGATGCCACGACCGACGTGCCTATTATCATTGGTGGCAAAGAATATCGTACTGATGTCGTCCGTACCCATACAGCTGTAAGCAATAAAGTCGTTCCAAATCGTTTCTCTTTAATGGCGCACAAATGATATTGGTTTTCTTTATCTAATTTTCATTTAGAGCCACAGCTGTAGGAAACCCATATAAACAATGATCTGGAAATTCCCCATAAAAATTGCCAAAGTAGGTTTTACTTGTGCGATCTGATTTCACCTAGAGAATGATGTAAGCTGGTCACGCATTATATTATTCTGTTTAACAACTATAATAGACAAAACAGTTGTTATTTATTTGTAGGTTTATATAATTTATAGTGTTCGTTATAGATGTATAACGTAAGTAATGTATCTGCAGCCGTTCGATCACACCAAAACAGTGGCCAAATTCAGCTGGGCGGACCCAAACCTCATCCAGAAGGCAATTGAGGATTCTTTGAGCGTTCGCGTCGAGTGGGAAAGGACGCCCCTTGCTGAAAAGGTAATGACAACTATAAGTAATACTAAGATCCATATATGGTATTGCAAATAATTCAACTCGACAGTACCACTTATGTTCATGAGAATAACCTAAATTCTTAAATATTTGTGCGGTGCCCCGATATTTTACTGCATAGGTGTTCCGTACTCTAATTTCGTTTCGGTTGTTTTTCCTGCAGATAAAAATCTTTCTTCGAGCTGCCGATTTAGTTGCGAACAAGTACAGGGCAGATTTATTGGCTACCACTATGATTGGTAACTATTTTGATCATTCGCTATAGTTATATATGAATCACATGATGATAATGACCATAACTTTTTGTAAGTTCCTTTAGTAATTAACGAAGTCGATTGATGGCTTATGGTGACTGCAATAGAAAAGAAAGTGTGCTACAACATTGAAAATATATTTAAACTAACATTAATATTGCAGCATGAATAATGAGTGTATTTCAGGACAGGGGAAAACTATTTTTCAAGCAGAAATTGACGCCGCTGCAGAACTTGCGGATTTTCTAAGATTTAACGCGTACTTCGCTAAGGAACTTGTCAAATATCAACCCATCAGTCCGGATCCATCCGTGACCATCAATCAATATCGACACAGGGGGATTGAGGTGAGTCAAAATAATGTTTTATAGACAAACGAGGCTGGATTCTACGGAGGCTCTTTAGGATCGAGCTCTTTTTTTGTGCACTATAGTTGTGTCATCAGAAGCGAGAGTTTCAAAGAACACGTTACCATGCGTAGTAATATGCGCTTCAAATTATAGATAGTTGAGTCGTTCTCCGACACAGAAGAATTCGTGGGGGCTAATTATTGTATTATATGGTAAGTCTTTTTGCATATATAATTTGCCAATACATTTGTAGGGCTTCTTCACGGCAATTTCACCATTCAACTTCTCTGCAATCGGCGGTAATCTCGCCACGGCTCCGTCACTTATGGGAAATGTCGTTCTCTGGAAACCTTCGGATTCAGCCGTGCTTTCCAATTACCTCATCTATAAGGTGAATGGGATAACATAAGTTATTACAGGAAGCTAGGGCCAGTCTGCGTTACCTGATCCTACACATTTTATCAAAATTGCTAAGATTCATATAATTTCAACGGCATAGACTCATTTATATAAGCACTAACGACTTATTAGCTAGAATTCATATGACCTTTTTTGCCATATTAGTATATTCGGGTTTTTGCTGCGAGTACTGCTAACGGCACATAAATACTATACAATTCGTATGAATAAGGGAAATTATCTATATATACGGGCATGTTTTAAATCGAATGAACTACCTTTAGATCCTGTTGGAAGCCGGCTTACCACCTGGCGTAGTAAACTTCATTCCTGCCGACGGAAAAACGTTTGGAGATGTGACAAGTGCCCACCCTGAACTCGCCGGCGTCAACTTTACTGGTAAGATGATTTTATTTCCAATTAACAGCTTTCTATTATTATTATTATTACTATACGATATCTAACAATATCAGTAACATTGTAGGCTCAGTACCAACGTTCCGCACGATCTGGCGGCAAGTGTCGAGCAATCTGGAGAAATATAAGAATCTTCCCCGGATCTTGGGCGAATGTGGTGGAAAAAATTTCCATTTTGCCCATTCAAGTGCAGATATCGATACTCTTGTAGCTCAGACGACCCGTTCTGCCTTTGAGTTTAGTGGGCAGAAATGCAGCGCTTGCGAACGACTTTACGTACCTGACACGATATGGCCCAAGGTAAAAGAAGGTATGTCTTTTGTCTTTTTGCCGTTTCCTTTACTGACGATGACCATTACAATTTCTCAGAAATATCTAGCCAACGCTACACAGGTTTCAACTTTATTTTAGGCGTAGCAACTCTAGCAAATTTTCTGATTCTTGTATATTTTTTCTCAGTAAGTGTATGCCATTCATTTGGTCTAATGACTTAACCACCGTTCAATTTTGTTAAACAGCCATTTTTTAGTAAGCATGAGTGTATTAAACTCAGCGTTTTGTTCGCGTAGCACTTCTATCGTCTTTGTTTCAAGCGCTATATTTTTCGCGGACTTGTCTGCAGGCATGCTCGAAGCTCATAAGAAGCTCAAGCTGGGCTCGCCTCTCGACTTCAGTTCGTTCACTTCGGCTGTAATCGACCAAACTGCTTTTAAAAAGATCTCAAACTTCATTGAATACGGCAGAGCGAAACAAACGCTTTTGGCTGGTGGAGAAACGAATTCGACAAAAGGATGGTTTATTGAGCCGACTATTTTTCAGACTCAGGATCCAGATGACAGGTTGGTCACCATGAATAATTGTTCGAAAATTCTTTTTTTTTTTCGAAACAGCATTTTTTAATGCATTTTATTGAAACAACGATTATAGGATCTTGCTAGTGAATCTCCGATGTTCTTTCTGCCTGCTTGGCTTGCCTTCGTAAACTTCATTCTACCTCAATTAAGTCTATTACAACAGAATGCGTCGCAACGCTATTTAACCATCTATGACATATTATTGGCTGTTTCTCTTACGTTTCATCTATATTCTATTGCAGGCTGATGAAAGAGGAGATCTTTGGACCTGTTGTAACGGTATATGTCTATGACGCTAAGGACACACTATCGGCTATGCAAAAAGCTCTACAAACATCCCCATTCGGTTTAACTGCAGCGATATTTGCGCGCGAACAAGCCTGGCTCGAAAAATCGACTGAGTATCTAAAGTACGCTGGCGGAAACTTCTATGTGAACGATAAGTCGACTGGAGCAGTTGTTGGTCAACAGCCTTTCGGAGGCTCGAGAATTTCCGGTGCGTATGCAGTGGTCCACAGAGTTTTGGTAGTATTCAGCGCCAAAGAGTGAGGATAACCGACTTTTTTTGACATACGAACACCGAAACATCTTTGTTTCTTCAAATGACAATAAATGCATTCTGCGTTATATGTACAATTAGGTTGAATTTCATTAATTTACGTTTCCTTGTCGTATTCAGATGTTCTATACACACAGGCTAGCGATACTGTATCACATGGTCTAAAAAATTACAACTTTGTATTATATAGGTTTTACGAATCCACTTGAATGTATACATTTATTAGCTTTTTTATCTAATGAAGACGTCTTAAAACAACATGCGACATACTATCTGTCGATGTTTTCCTCATTTATCCTCCTCATCTATCGAAGCGTTTATACGTGTCATCAGACATATGGGAGCGCCGCGTGCAGCGTCTATTGTGAAACGCTTGCTAAAGGTCATGCTCATAAATTTCGTTCCCCCTGTAACGCTAGAGGACAAGTTTAAGGGCAAATTCTGAATTCTGTCGATGATGTATTAGCGAATTGTAGTAATTTATTTGGTTGTACACTTTCTCTTTTTACAGGTACAAACGACAAGCCAGGCGGTCCGCATTATCTGCTTCGTTTCAGCTCTCCGCAAGTTATCAAGCAAACGTTGACGCCACTCACGGAGATTGACTATGCTTACATGAGGCCGTAAGCTGATGTCTGCCAGTGGGTGCGTGTCTATTATATGAATAGCTTTTCAAAGCAGAAGATTTTAATAAAGAGTATTATACCGAGCACTAAATAAGCAGTTGCCAATTCAGATGTATTGGAACGGAAGAGCAGAGAAACGGGGGAGTGCGAGGTGGAAAAAATACATGTTCATAAATTAGTTGTTTTTGCTAAATATTAAAAGGAATATCTGCTGAATTTAAGATTCATTCCTAGAGATACAGTGCATAATAACGCCAAGATTATTAGCCTCGTTGTTTTTGAGGCATTTTATTATGGGCTAGGGCATGACAATCCAATATATTATTATAGAGTACCTGCGTAAGACCATTGTGTGCAAGCAGAGAGTGAATAGGTTAAACCTGCTTATGGATGATTTGTTCGTTGTAAAATCTTAATTCAATTTTTCTTTATCTGAAACTATTGAATATTGACTGATTGAATATGAAATACTGAGTCACTGCTGACTACTTTTTATCTATGTTGCGGCGCACGTATGCTTTAATTAGCAGAAATAGTAGCCCAATATTATTTGAGATAGTTTACTTTTTGTTTCAAACTACAACTATATTGTTCAGATTGAAAAATTTAGGATATCAAGATCGCTACAACCGATCGGAGAGACTGCCCAAACACGGTACTGCAGCATCTGGTGTCTTGTTAAATGGTTAATTGTCATAACGCCAATGAGCTGTATGCGCTTAGGTCCATATACATCTGCTCCCCCCCCCCAAAAGAAAGGACGGTTTCTATTAATAGAGGGAACCTAACAATTGTTTTTTGTGCCTTGTTATCAACGGAACTCTTCACTCACGCGAAGTCTTTCAGTTATTTAGGAACGCTCCAGACGACGAAATAACGCTCATTGGAGCGTTTGGAATTAAAGCCTTTAAATTGAGAGGTTATAAAGTGCATTGATTTGAAGCGCCGTCGTTTAAAGTTCGTAGCTGATAGATGCGGTGTAGTAAGAAGCACCTATGGACTCCAATCAGAGAAAATCCTAATCGTCGATTCCAACCCCAACTACTAAATCCCCGCGGGGAACAATCAGATCCTTATAGAGCAGCATGTCTTGCTCCTCCCAAGGTTTTCGGCTTAATTTTCTTCGAATGACCATGCAAACTGACACTTGAACCTTGAAATTAATTTGGATACTTCCTCAAGGAACGATCTTTTTAATATATCGTATTTATCTTTGTCGCTACTGACCAAAATAATGAAAGTGATACAGATATCAATACACAGATATATATTCTTAAAACGGCACTGGCAAATATCTTTTGTAGGGAAAGAGAAAACCTGAATAGACCAACACTCTGTATTGTTATACTCATATACCCAACAGCAATATATAGATACCTACTAGGTAATAAATATTGTGAAATAATAATAATAATATTTTCCTGATACAACCACCGAAATATCGAAACATGGAATCGAATGACTGTGTTCAGTGTTCGTGAAATTTCCTGTTATCTATTCGATGTAAGTTCCTATATTTGTAAGGGAGTATGCTTCATTGTATCCGGAACGAGGCTGCTATATAAATAAAACTGATATTGAATGTCGTTGATGACACTATCGCTTACTTATTCTAAATATAATGATAATTTTTTTATCTATGGGTTAAATAGCCTATATAAAATGGATTCTCTAATCTTTATTAGCTTTAGCGTAGGATGAGCCGCGTTTCGGTGCAATAATTTATGGCACGTAATTGGTCATACGGACGTCGACGAATATATGCAGGGAAGCTGCGCTATTAAAAAACAAATGGCGTTTTTACAAGAACTTCAAAGCGTTTTGTAATTGCCTACGTGTAAATTGTGTCTGTTATTATGCCTGTAAGCGCCGACAACACTAGAGAAATTCAAGGTGCCTATATGTGCAATTTATCGCTGTCCTCATGTAGTCACTAGCGCGGTTTTAATATGTCCTATCTTATTATGTGAATGTACACGACGCCGTAATCGAGGCAACCATTGTTGCCGAAAGAAGCCTATTCATCAGTTCAGACTTTTCATATTTTCGTTTTTCTAATAAGGGTTAATGCACACTTGGTATGAGATACGTTACCACGTCCTATCGTAAACGTTGCTGAAGACATTTATGTCAAGCGCTTCAATTTTCAAGTCTAAGGAAAAATTCACTTGTATTCATCGAATATACAAATCTTGTAGTCGTATGCGCTATTTTTATATGAGGTAAAAAGCCAGAAAAGTCGACCCTGCTTTTTTACTACTACTACTACAGAAAACGTCTGAGTGATCAGATCGTGGCCAGCCAGGACCTTTATACGTCACGGAAAATCAATATAGAAGATACGTCCAAAATCAAAACGATTTACACAGTCTTTGAAAGAGATCATTTCCATTTTGGTAACTGTCATGGTTATTAAATGTGAGAGAAATCACGGTCGTTGCAGTCTGTAATGAGTCAAAATTATGTTATAGAGAACACTGACTTTGCTCGTATAAAACAATATTTATATAGCATACAGGCGACGAACGGGGAGAAGATCATTGATAGGTATGTTAGAAGAAACGTCGCAAGTACGTCGCACTCATAACAAAAGTGAACCAGTTTGTAGCAGTCGTTCGTTATTCGTTGTAGCAGTCGTGTATAATTAATTCTTCATTCCAAGAACACTGCGACAAGTTACTAGAAGAAAAAATAATATTAAGAACTGACGGAAAGTTGAAGAGGAAGTTTCGCCCATTCGACACCCTGGCCTTTCGAAAAGAGTACGGGTCGCCGACAACCTACGTTCAGGTATATTACATAGACTCTACTGTTTGAATCTTGAAGTTTTGTATAGTCAAACGATTAGTTCACCTAAGGGGCGATACGTTTCAGAAAAAAAAAACCAAGGACAGTAAGGCTATTGCTCCACTTACCTAATGTTAGCTTATATTATAATAATATAATGCTGGAAGGTTTGTGGCTCTCTCAAATCTTGACTCTTAAATCTGCATAGCTTCCCATATCTACTCAACTTTAACTCAAACTCAAGCAAAAACATTTTGTTTTATATGTCCCTGACTTCGAAAAATCAGTGAGTAATCCCTAAAAAAGCAGACAATTAGAAAAGGTTATTTTTAGTATAAAAATCGTTTTTAAATACATCTTATGTGATACACAAATGAGAAATTGCAGTTTTATTATATAGGATCCCGGTAATGCAAAAGTTCTGTGCTGTTGCATGCCCCAAAGGCTGTTTTCTTTTGAGGCGTAACTGTAGCTAACTGCTATAAGAATTCGATAATTTCTAAGATGGTAAACAAGGATCATGGAATGATGATGGAAGGATTTTGCCCAGAAAGAGTCTGGTAACGTCCTTAGCTCTATCGCATCACGATTACAACTTTTTACAGTTTAGAATTAGCCATATTTAGCTGTTTTTTGTAAAAGATGTCCCGTCTTATTTACATTATATATAGCGTAGACCAGCCTGGCCGACCTAATTCAATACAAATAACTATTCTTAATACTGCTCCTGAAATAGCAGATCAAATGCTAAAAATTAAATCAATCCTTATGATTGCAAGAAAATATATGCCGTCTTATATAAATATATAAATTTACCATTCTGAAGATTTAAAAATATATTTTTGTCTTGAAAATTGAGTTAACTTAAAACTTGACGCAGCTCTCAAGGTGGTCTTATAGCTCAATGTTGTGACCTGGTATAAAAACATTTGACGTTTGTTTTCGAACATTTAAATCTAGTCTATGTTTTTTTTTATATTCTAGTGATGGTTGACAAAAAGAGCTCGCCCATTTTTTAATAAAAAGGAAATTACATAAAGTTTCAGGTTCATGTGAGAAGCAAAAAGTGCTAAAAAAACAAATTATTTTCCAACTCTGCCATGTTGAAAATCTTTATATCTAACATCGCGTTGATCATGGTCTAAGCATTCATAATATTCTCGTATGTAAAGAACGTTTCAGAAGAAGGCATTCGGACTTTTCGACGAAGGATAAGGATCATGAACACTTTACCATCTTTGCTTCTGAGCACTGCTCACAACTTGAGAAGACTGCAAAATTCCGCACTTTACATACTGGGAAAAAGCTTTAATGCAATGCACTGCTAGCAGTTCATAAAGGTACATACTCTTTGTTGCAATTGGATAACATCGTCACTAAGCTGTAAAGTATCGCCAGAATGCAGCACCTTCATTTCCGCAGCAACTTTCTTTAAACATTTATAACCACATTTCCGCTTGATTGCAAAGTCACCGTGAATATTTGTATCGCCTGTGGTTCTTCTCACATGACGGCTGATAATAGAGTAAATTTTGTGTTTGGGTTAATTTACCTAGGCTAAATAATGAACAGTAGCATGTCGAGATTCCATCAATCATTTTCGCCCCTAGAGCTGGCAGACGCCTACATACTTGGCTTGCCACTTACCTTAAAGGGTATCTTGTAGTATTCCACTGTAACCAGTTGCCGTTTCTATGTAAGGCTGAATTGTACCCAATGTACATAACATACGTACTTTCATTTATAATAAATTAGTTGCCTCAATTAAGTGACCCTGTCCACGTCCCTTTATTACTACCCCTAACATTAGAATTACCCGCAGGGATTTTCCTAGAGATGAACCTAGCCGGCCACTCTCAGCCCACAATTACACAGACTCACCTGTTTGGAACTTGTTTCGTCTTTACTATCCTAGGTATTGTATTATTTACATAGTATCTACATGTGTAATGGACTGCATTGCGATGTGTAGATCTGGTCCCATCTCATGGAGAACTGTTGTCGTTTGATCCAGTGATGGCAGAGGGTCGAGTGGCGCCATCTAGTCGATGGCCCTGCAGTGACCGAAAACCTTCGGCGGGGATCTTCAGTTCGTTTTGACTCGTAGTAGTTAGAGGGTTCGGCCGGCACAGCAGCAGCTTTACTGATTGTAGGGAACACGCGCGCGCGGTCCAGCACACCTGTTCGCCCATCCGTACGCTGTTACCAGTGCGGACCGCTGTTGCTGCTGCTGCCGCAACAGCAGTCAATGCATTTGGTCACCACTGTGAAGCCTCGGTCGCTATCGCGGTGAGCGAAAAGAGCCGCATAACTGGTATTCGTCAAGTTTAGTCAAGTCAGTTTGCACTCAAGGATTTGTGGCATAGGCGCCAAACGAAGTTCCTAGGATACGCGTTAACGAACATTGCGATTAGGTATTGTTAACATACCATTGGCAATAAAAGCAACGATTCGAATATCGACGTATACGCAAGCAGCGTCTAAAAAAGAGTTCAACGCTGTAACAAATTTTGATGATTGAGCAAGCACAAATAACGCACTGGCAACTATCCAAAAAAATGTCTATCTAGTCACTAATTGTTAGGCAGCAACAATACAGTGACACGATGGCTATTTAATCAATTTACGTCGTCGGTAACAGCTAAATGGAAATATCGTAAGAACCATTTTCTAAATGTGTGTAGTTACAATAACTAGGAGAAGTTTGAGGAAGCTGCCGTTCAGTATCTATCAACATTAACCTATTTCTTAACAAGTTATTCAAGCAACGTTCAACGTATTCAAGCGAACGAACTTTTAGATTAACTCAAGCTGTTTTATCAACTGTGATGTGATCAACTGGACTTCAAAGAAACGAGAGGAGACATCAAGTTGCAGCAAATACGGCTTTTATATAGAAAATCAGCATCTTTACCAGTTAAAGCGAATCAGATCCCACAGCGAACATACGTATAGCACACAGCTGTCCGCTTATTTGCAACGTCTACTTTCGAGGACTAAAGCGACACGAGAGCAAAAACGTCTTTTGTGTACGTTTGATTCCCGACTCGTGTTCGGCCTCATCGAGAACCCCAGCCGGGGGCAGCAGTAGACGAAAGAAGGAGCAAAGTCTTATTTACTCTGTTCCATTGCATGACAACGATAACTTTGCAGTATTATCGTCGTCATCGATATTCATTACTATTGTTCTTATTGCAACTAAATACCTATCGATAGAAGATTTGTGTTGTGCTAACCCCGACGGATAAATGATTGTGATGATCGTCAAACCGGAAGTGGGAGACGTTGAACTCTTCTACTGTGATGCTTGTGCTGTGCGACTGGCGTCTATGTTATATGACTCTGCTTCGACCGCATTTTATGAATATAGGTTATAAATTGATCAATTGAGGCCTTTTATTTAGCAAGCAACAACGACTTAGCTGACATTTTCGCAGGCATTGTCGGCGTAGCGCTGTCTTTCTTTATTCCTAACTTAAATTGTGAATGTGAATGCACATTTAACTTTGCATCTGTGTCTGCAAGAGCTTTTTGGTCAATCTTGCTGGACGCAACAACTGCGACTTGTGAACTTCAAGGATTCGTCAATCTACTATACGTATCTCTTGAGTTAAACTTGAGTTCTTGTTGAATGCCTTCATCCAAGCAAGTACAAAAGCAGGAGAACACCAGTCCACTGACGACGAGCGTACGTCGAAGATTATACGACGACTGAATGTGACACAAACAAATCGAAATCTGCCGTGCACCCAATTGCAATCACCCAGCACCTCTGCAGAACGAAAACGACGATGAGGATGATGAAGA